ATGTCTCTCCAACCCGTGGCAGAGAAAGAAGGGAGACAAGACCTTTTTATACCCACAAGACCACCTTGGGAGTGGGGGTGAGGAGGAGGAGGATGAAAGCTGTCAATCACCTCCTATGCTGAGACAAGGGTGAGGGGGGCTCCGGACATTCCAAGGGCCAGGGGACTTTTGTCATTCCGATTGCCACTTAAGAGGTTTACAGAAATTAAGATAAACATTAGCTTATACATTATTTGGACAGGTGTGGGGTCCACATAATTTTAGGTTACTTAGCACCAGGATGGAATTATCCAGGGGTGCTTACTCTGGTCATTACCGGTAAACAAAGGCCAGCAATTCTGGCAGTTACAGATAAGAGAAGGTATGCAGCTTTATCTCTTTGCAAAGTAAACTAGCAGTCTTACAGAGGCCAAGGTTAGCATTCGTTGTGAGGAGAATGGAAACACTTTTCTCATTTTATAAAATGGCATTGTACCAGTTCAAACTCTAGGCCAGCTATATCACATAATGGTTATCAAAAAGAGACAAATTTATAGCTCAATTTTGATAAATACGAAAGACCATAAAACTTGTACTTACCTACGTATTAAATCAATCTGCTATTGTCTTTTTCCTGTTGATTTCTATATTTCCAATCTAATCTAATGACCCTTAAAAGGCTCATTCAAGGCATTATAAATAAAGCTGATAATAACAACTCACCTGGGATGTTCATTTTCTATTGGTCTTGGAAAAAGGTGAAGAGTGAAGGTAATGCTGGGAGAGGAGGTAAGTTAGGCGAAATCTAGCCTGCTTGCTGCTCCTGGATCCAACTTCCTAAAATGCTACACAGAAGAGACTGTTTTAACAAAGCAGAGACAGCTCTATGACCAGATTCTGTTGGGCTTAGACACGCAGTTTTTCACTGGGTGAAAATAAACCATGTATACCAATGATTAACAATTTATGTCTCTAAGACACAAAAAGAATTTACAATACAACCAATTTATAAATGATGGGATCCTGATATAGAAACAGTGTCTTTGTCAAAACTGATTGGTAGGAAACACTCAGGTTGCACTATTTATCTGTTTTCCTATCAATATAATACTGGGAATACTGTTGAACAATTCACAGAAACTCTAAAAAAGAGAATAAATGCTTTAGTACAAGATTTTTTTTTTAATATTTATCCTAATTTGATTACAATTTCATAATCTTTTGATAAGACTTGTTTCAACTATGCAAAAGAATGAAGAAACCAAGAAACTCTTATCTTGATCAGTAACAAAGGTAGTAATTCATTGATTCTCTCAGGCTCCATACATGTTTTTTTCTTTCAAATGAGGCAGAAATACTTAAATACTATATACTCTTCCTGCACTACCGTCTTGTGATTCTAAGGTAAGAATAAAAACAGAATGAAAGCCAGGCGCGGTGGCTCATGCCTGTAATCCCAGAACTTTGGGAGGCCAAGGTGGGCGGATCACTTTGAAGTCGGGAGGGTCACCTTGAGGTCAGGAGTTCAAGACCAGCCCGACCAACATGAAGAAACCCCGTCTCTACTAAAAATACAAAATCAGCCAGGCATGGTGGCACATGCCTGTAATCCCAGCTATTTGGGAGGCTGAGGCAGGAGAATCTCTTGAACCGGGGAAGCAGAGGTTGCGGTGAGCTGAGATCGAGCTATTGCACTCACGCCTAAAAATCAGTCTCAAAAAAAAAAAGCTAGGCACAGTGACTCACGCCTGTAATCCTAGGGTGGATCACCTGAGGTCAGGCGTTCAAGACCAGCCTGACTGACACGGTGAAACCCCATCTCTACTAGAAAAAATACAAAAATCATTCGGGCATGGTGGTGCACACCTGTAATCCCAGCTACTTGGAAGGCTGAGACAGGAGAATCGCTTGAACCCAGGTGGCTGAGGTTGCAGTGAGCTGAGATTGCACCATTGCACTCCAGCCGGGGTAACAAGAGCAAAACTCCAGCTCAAAAAAAAAAATCCAGATAAAAAATACGTGGGCATTGCATGTGAGCTCAGAATCTGAAAAATCTGAGTGAAGAACAAAAGAAATGTGGGCTGTTTGGAGAGGTTAAATTAAACTTCCTCAGGTCAAATGCCCAAAGAGAAGGGACATTTCCTGGGTAGCCTGCCCCTCATTCACTGCTCTGATGCGGCACACCTCTCGCTGATCCACCTTCACAAAGTTGTGATGGCAACGATGTGAAGTCTGAAGTCACACTCATTTGGAGCCGCGGGATCAAAAATTGCATCTGGCCTTGCAAATCTAGAATCTGTTCTTTTGGGGAGGGTCTCTTCCACTTCCGCTCTGATGAGAGGTCTGACCTCTCAGGGGTGTTTCTTCCAGGTAGGATTATGGTTCGTGCAGCTCCTGCCCTCTCAACTCTCTAGAACTGTTGTGGTCCAACGGAGAGTAAACCCTGGCCGAGAGGACAAAATCATTTAGTAGCACTCTTCACACTGGACCCCCAATCTGACTCTCTGGGAGGTCGTTGTCCCCTCGAATCTCAGGCTAGCCCTTCTATGGGCTAGCAGCAAGACCGTTGGGCACATTTCCCGGCTTCCAGAGTACTCAGGAAGGCACATGTCCTACCTGGGGGCTAAGAAGCACCCGAGTGGCTGCCGGGCAGAGCCTCTCACCCACAGCAACACGAGACATGGACTGCAATACCTGGCCTCCCTCGCCAGCTGGCCAGTGAACGCAGGTAAATCACGCACCTCAGAGCCTTTTTTATTCGCTAAAACCTATGGCTGTAAAAACTCACCGAGGTACCAAATAAAAAGAGATGCTTAACCATTAACTAGCAGCTACGAGACTAAATGATTCACACGTGCCGCCGTCCGAAGCGCAGAGAAGCCGGCCCGAGCCCAGTCCTCCCTCGGGAGCTCGCGGGACGGCCCCGGCGGCGCCCCTCCGCTGAAACCCAGCCTAGGGGTCTCGGGGGCCGGCCGCGCTCTCTCCGCAGCACTGACCGGCCCGCGCCTACTGGCTCAGGTCCGCAGGACTCCCCTCGACCCGCGCTCCTACCCACGCGCACCCCGCAGCCTCCAGGGCACGTTGGGCGCGCGACTCAGCGGCCAGACTCACGAGCTGCAACTACACCCAGAGGTAGCCGAGCCGCGAAGAGCCCGCGGCGCACAGGAGCAAAGAGGCCGCTGGAGAGCAGCTACCTAACAACCTCTAGAGCTAGGAGCGCGCCACGAGAGTTGGGGAAGGGGCGGGAAGGGGAGGGAGCAGGGCGAGGCTGAGCCGAGGGTCGTTGGGGAGACGCGCGGGGCGGGGCGGGGCGGAGCAGGGAGCCGGGGAGGGTAGCCGCGGGGAGCCGAAGAGCTGAGCGGAAGGCTGTTGGGGAGACGCGCGGGGCGGGGCGGGGCGGAGCTGAGCGGAAGGCTGCTGGGGAGACCCGCGAGGCGGGGTAGGGCGGGGCTGAGCCGAGGGCAGCGGTGGAGACGCGCGGGGTGTGGCTACGCCGGAGGCTCCCACCAAATGCCCTTACTGAGAGGAAAACGCACCCGGCAGCCCAGCTTCTCCCAGACAGGAAAACGACGAATATTTCATTATCATACTGTTACTGGCTAGCCACCAAGAATTACACAGAGATACACAAACATTTAGGAAAATCAGAAAATAGACATTAATCAAAAGAAAGGAAGGAACACATGACACAGCCTCCTCTAGACCCCCTGATATTCCAGTGCATTGTCACTAGGAGCACCACCTTCGGATGCCAAGTTTGCAGAAATACCAACGTACGTTCATAACATTTATCACTATCCTCTCAGAAAACATTTTCTTGGAGAATATAACATCAATTGTTTTCCCCAATGATAATAAAAGAAATAAGTTCCATTCACAATAGCACCAAACATTGTACAGAATATTTATTACATGATCTAAAAATAATAAAATATATTAAGAATATTTATTACACGACTTAAGAAATACTACAAAGCAAATGACGTTTTGTAGTGTATGACATTTACAGAAATTGAATAGATAAGAGATTGCTAGGGCTTTCCCAAAAAGAACACCTAACCTTGGACAATGTGCCAAACAGAATCTCTACAAGTTTCTGTGCAAGAGTTTTCCCGTTGCTTCTTATTTTATACTGTCTTACTGATAGGACATTGTAACCTTACTCTAAGATTTAAAAAAATTAACAGTAACACCAGCTATATATTAGAAATATTCTATTGGGCTTTTTTAAGTTTGGAACTGGACCCCCCCAAAAAAGTAATTTATTATATAGTTTAGAAGGGAAATAATTTAGTATTCAATTAATCATAGTAGATAATTAGGTACATAAACATGCTATTATACCAGCTCACACACTGTAATAAATGCATTTCAAGTACAAAACTGAGATTAAATTGTATATGTAAATTATTAGACTCCTCTCATAACTGTTTTGTTTTTTCTTTGTTTTGAGACAGTCTCTCTCTGTCACCCAGGCTGGAGTGTAGTGGCGTGTCTCAGCTCACTGCATTCTCCACCTCCAGGGTTCAAGTGATTCTCCTGCCTCAGCCTCCCAAGTAGCTGGAATTACAGGTGTGCACCACCACACCCTGCTAATTTTTGTATTTTTAGTAGAGATGGGATTTCACTATGTTGGCCAGGCTCCTGACAGGTGATCTGCCTGCCTTGGCCTCCCAAAGTGCTGGGATTACATGCCTGAGCCACACGCCCAGCCTCATAATTGTTAACAATGTGTTTTCTAGATCTGGCTGAAGAGCCTAGATGCAGTGAACCCCCAATAATAATGAGCACAGTTAGTACTAAAAAGCTCTCCAGGAAAAGTAGACAGTGATCTGTGGAAAAGTGATAGATTCCAAGTCTGGCCAGGAAAGTAGAAGATGAAACTGGGAAATTTGACAGCCCCCCTTCATCTCTCTCCCTCCGGCTTCTTTTCTCCCTCTTTCTGCTCCCCCTCCCTTCTCCTTCTCCCTCCCTTTCTCCTTCCTCCCTCTCCCCCCTCCCTCCCCCTCCTCCTCCCTCCCCCTCTTTCTTCCTCCTCTCTCTCTATCTCTCTCTCTCTCTCTCTCTCTCTCTCTCTGTCTTACTCACTCAGATCCCTAACATTAAAGAGAAAATGCTGCTATCCGTGACTTCCAGGCCTGGGATTTCGACTTTGGGCTACAGTAGAAACAACAAGAAGCCATATGTGTCATTGGCTCAGCAGATGGCACCACCTAGCCCAAGCAACAGTACCCCTAACAGCAGCAGTGGAAGCAATGGAAATGACCAGCTGAGCAAAACCAACCTATACATCCGAGGATTGCAACCAGGCACTACTGACCAAGATCTTGTCAAGCTGTGTCAGCCATATGGCAAGATTGTCTCCACTAAGGCCATACTGGACAAGACCACAAACAAATGCAAAGGCTATGGCTTTGTAGATTTTGACAGCCCTTCAGCAGCACAGAAAGCTGTAACAGCACTGAAGGCCAGTGGGGTACAGGCACAGATGGCAAAGCAACAGGAACAGGACCCCCCAAATTTATACATCTCTAACCTCCCACTGTCAATGGATGAGCAGGAACTGGAGGGGATGCTGAAGCCCTTTGGCCAGGTTATCTCCACCTGTATCCTTCGAGACACCAGTGGGACCAGCAGAGGGGTTGGCTTTGCAAAGATGGAGTCCACAGAGAAGTGTAAAGCCATCATCACCCACTTTAATGGAAAATATATTAAGACACCCCCTGGAGTACCGGCCCCATCCAATCCCTTGCTTTGCAAATTTGCTGATGGCGGGCCAAAGAAACGACAGAACCAAGGAAAATTTGTGCAAAATGGACAGGCCTGGCTAAGGAATGGAGACATGGGTAGCATGGCCTTGACCTATGACCCCACCACGTCTCTTCAGAATGGGTTTTACCCTTATAACATCACCCCCAACAGGATGCTTGCTCAGTCTGCATTCTCCCCATACCTTTCCTCTCCTGTGTCTTCGTATCAGAGAGTGACTCAGACATCTCCTCTAAAAGTACCTAACCCATCTTGGATGCACCACCATTCATACCTCATGCAACCTTCAGGTTCAGTTCTGACACCAGGGATGGACCATCCTATTTCTCTCCAGCCAGCCTCCATCAGCAGCACAGGGTCGGACGTATTATGTCGACGGCTGCAGCTATACAAGGAGCTTACATCTCCCACAGGTACGCCCCTGTGCCTTCTTCCAGTGTTTCAATCAAGGAGAGCAGCAGCCAGCAGAACCATGAGGCGATGGACGTGCCCTCAGAGCATGGGGTCTATTCTTTCCAGTTCAACAAGTAACAGTGGGCCTGGGCCTGGAAAAAGAAATCTCTACGTTCCTGCCCTCTGCTCTTTCCCCATTGCTGATGGAGCCTGGGGGAACCATCACTTTTTGTGTGTACTACATTCAAGGAAATCCAAGAAACTTTTTTTCTTTTGCAAAGAAAGTTTTTTGTTTTTAACTGCAATGTACTGTTCCCTACCCTGAAGAGCCATGGTGGTTGGAGCTTCTTCTCGTCTATATGAAAAAGTTTTTGATGTAAAAAAAAACAAGAAACTGGGAAACTTTACTGCATCAAAAATCTTACTGTATAGGCTGGACAGCAGATGAATATTGCTTTTCTATAAAGGAATTCGAAGAATCAGAAATTGTAGGCTGGGAGAGGTGGCTTACGCCTGTAAACTCAGTGCTTTGGGAGGCCAAGGTGGGTGGATCACTTGAGGTCAGGAGTTTGAGACCAGCCTGGCCAACATGGTGAAAAACCATTTCTGCTAAAAATATAAAAATTAGACAGTTGTGGTGGTGTGTGCCTGTAATCCCAGCTACTTGGGAGGCTGACGCAGGAGAATCGCTTGAATCATTGCAGTGAGCTGAGATCACGCCACTGTATTCCAGCCTGGGTGACAGAGGGAGACTCCATCTCAAAAAAAAAAAAAAGAAGAATCAGAAATTGTAGATATATTCAAAAATGTAAATTACTCTGTTTTTCTTCTCTTACTATATTTAAAATGCATATAGGCATTTATTTTTTTATTTTTATTTTTTGACCTTTCAATGTTATCCAATGCATATAAGCATTTAAAGCAAAAATTGTTGCACTTCATTATAGGCCTTGTAACATAAATGTAACACATGATAAAAATAGCTCAAGGGATGGAGGTTAATAAACTATACTTTTGTAAAATTTATTAATCATAAATAGACTATTAGTTAAGGGTGTGTATTTAATCCCCTAACCACTAGAAAACCACTAGAAAAAGTATGTTAAAAAGTACAGGAGAAAAAGTCAGGAGAAGCTGGGTACAGTGGCTCATTGTAATCCAAACTACTTTAAAGGTTAAAATGGGAGGATAGCTTGAGTCCAGGAGGTCGAGGCTGTGATGAGGTATGATCACGCCACTACACTCCAGATTGGGTGACAAGCAAGACCCTGTCTCTTAAAAAAAAAAATTACAAAAGAAGGTAGGGTGGCCAGGCACAGTGGCTCATGCCTGTAATCCCAGCACTTTGGGAGGCTGGGGCAGGCAGATTGCTTAACTTCAGCAATTCAAGACCAGCATGGGCAAGATGGTGAGACCCCATCTCTACAAAAAAATTTTTTTAATTTTTTAAAAATAGCTGAGCATGGTGGCATATGACAGCAGTCCCAGTTAGTTGAAAGAATGAGGTGGGAGAATCACTTGAGCCCTTGAAAGGTCAAGGCTGCAGTGAACCAAGATTGTGCCACTGAACTCCAGCCTGGGCAACAGAGAGAGGCCCCGTCTCAAAAAAACTAAAAAAATAAAAATTAAAAATAAGGTGAGGAAGTGAAAACAGGAATAAAACATAGATATTAAATGAAAAAAACTAATAAAGTAAAAGTAAATCCAACCATACAAAGATCAAATGTGGCAGACATGGTGGCTCACACTTACAATCCCAGTACCTTGGGAGGCCAAGATGGGAGGATCACTTGAGCCCAGGAGTTTGAGACCAACCTGGCAAGATGGTGAGACCTCATCTCTACAAACATTTTAAAAATAAATAAATTAGGCCAGGCACGGTGGCTCACGCCTGTAATCCCAGCACTTTGGGAGGCCAAGGCGGGTGGATCACAAGGTCAGGAGTTCAAGACCAGCCTGGCCAACATGATGAAACCCTGTCTCTACAAAAAAAAAATGAAAATAAAAATAAGGGCCAGGTGCGGTGGCTCAAGCCTGTAATCCCAGCACTTTGGGAGGCCGAGGCGGGTGGATCACAAGGGCAAGAGATCGAGACCATCCTGGTCAACATGGTGAAACCCCGTCTCTACTAAAAATACAAAAAAAATTAGCTGGGCACAGTGGCGCATGCCTGTAATCCCAGCTACTCAGGAAGCTGAGGCAGGAGAATTGCCTGAACCCAGGAGGCGGAGGTTGCGGTGAGCCGAGATCGCACCATTGCACTCCAGCCTGGGTAACAAGAGCAAAACTCCGTCTCAAAAAAAAAAAAAATTTAAATTAAATAAATAATCTGGACATGGTGACACATGCCAGTAATCCCTGCTACTTGGGAGGCTGCGATGGAAGGACTGCTTCAGCCCAGGAGTTCAAAGCTACAGTGAGCTCTGATCACACCACTACATTCCAGCCTGGATGACAGAGAGAGGCCCTGTCTCTATTTAAAAACAAACAAATATCAATCAATTTTACTTATAGACCAGGCGTGGTGGCTCACACCTGTAATCCCAATACTTTGGGATGCTGAGGCAGGAGGATCACTTGAGCTCGGGAGTTTGAGACCAGCATCAGCAACACAGTGAGACCTCATCTCTATTACTTTACTTTAAAAAATCAAAATGAAATTTAAATATATATATATATAATTGTATTTCTATATACTAGCAATAGACATGTGAAAACCAAAACAATTTTTTACAGACAAAATCTCACTACATTGTCCAGACTATTCTTGAACTCCTGGAATCAAGTAGCTCTCGTCTTAGCCTCTGGAGTAGCTGGGACTACAGGTGCATGCCCTTCTTCATTTACAATCACTTCTTTAAAAAGACCATAAAATTGTTAGGGATAAATCTAATAAAATGAACAAGACTAGTGTACAAAAAACTACAAAACCTCCATGAGGGAAATCTAAATAAATAAGATCTAAATAAAAGAAGTAATGCACCATGTTCATAGATTGGAAGGCTGAACATAGTAAAATATCAATTTTCTGCAAAGTGATACAGATTTAACACAATTTCAAAATCCCAGTAGGATTTTGTGTAGATATAGACAAAATTATTCTTTTTTTTTTTTTTTTTTTTTTTGAGATGGAGTCTTGCTCTGTTTCCCAAGCTGGAGTGCAGTGACAAGATTTCAGCTCACTGCAACCTCCACCTCCTGGGTTTAAGAAATTCTCCTGCCTCGGCCTCCCAAGTAGCTGGGATTACAGTTGCACACCACCACACACAGGTAATTTTTGTATTTTTAGCAGAGACAGGGTTTCGTCATGTTGGCCAGGCTAGCCTCAAACTCCTGACCTCAGGTGATCCACCCACCTCAGCCTCCCAAAGTGCTGGGATTACAGGCGTTGAGTCACCATCCCCAGCCTAAACAAGATTATTCTAAAATTAAACGAAAAATAAAGGCTTCAAATAACTAAAACTATTTTGAAAAAGTATAGTGGGAGGAATTAGTCGGCTTCAGTAATCAAGACTGTGAACTATTCATTGAGAGATAAACATAGATTAATAGAACAGAGAACCCAGAAGTAGACTTATACTTCCCCCAAATTAAAAGCTTTTGCTCTGGCTGGGCAAGGTGGCTCACACCTGTAATCTCAGCACTTTGGGAGGCCGAGGAGGGTGGATCACTTGAGGTCAGGAGTTCAAGACCAGCCTGGCCAACATAGTGAAACCCTGTCTCTACTAAAAATACAAAAATTAGCTGGGCATGGTGGCACATGCCTGTAGTCCCAGCTACTTGTGAGGCTGAGACAGGAGAATCACTTGAACCCGGAAGGCAGAGGTTGCAGCAGGTCGAGATCACACCATTGCACTCCAGCCTGGGCAACAGAGTGAGACTCTGTCTAAAAAAAAAAATTAATAAATAGCCAGATATGATGGTGCATGCCTGTAATCCCAGCTACTACAGAGGCTGAAACAGGACACTTGCTTAAACCTGGGAGGTGAAGGCTGCAGTGAGCCGAGATAGCTCCATTGTACTCCAGCCTGGGCCACAAAGCAAGACTCCGTCTCAAAAAAAAAAAAAAAAAATTAACACATGACCCATATCTATTGGATGCTTATTTTATTCAGAGTTCTCTCCACTCTGGCTGCTTAGAAGGGAAATGGTTTCCCAACCCTCTGTGAGCCATGGGCATTATTCAGCCTAGAGCTCCTAGTAATTGTTTCTCCCTTGGCCTGAGCTTCCTGCCATGCCTGGTGGCTCTTCACCTTCACAAGCACAGCAAACTAGTTTTCTGGTTGTTCCATGTATTATTGGCAGTTTTCTTTATCTTTGTGACAGAAGTACAAGTCTATAGGAATTACGTCCTCATGGGTAGAAGACCAGTTCCTGGCAATGTACCTAACCTCTGCGTATTTATTACTCCATAAGGCTGATGCTGTTGATTGAAACATTTACAAAAGTACAAACTGAATTCTTTTTGAAGAGTTAGTAAAAATGGTCATACCTCTTTATATGTGCCAAGAGAATAAAGATTTGTACATAGCAAGCTGGGTGTAGTGGCTACACCTATAATCCTAGCACTTAGGGAGGCTGAGGCAGGCAGATCACCTGAGGCCAGGGGTTCCAGAAGATACCGACCAACATGGCAAAACCCCATCTCTACTAAAAATACAAAAATTAGCTGGGTGTGGTGGTGCATGCCTGTAATCCCAGCTACTCAGGAGGCTGAGACAGGAGAATCGCTTGAACCCAGGAGGCAAAAGTTGCAGTGAGCCAAGATCGCACCATTGTACTCCAGTCTAGGCGACGAGCAATTCTCTGTCTCAAAAAAAAGGTTTTTACAGAGCAATTCAAGCTTCAGAATATTTTTTTCACAAATATTTTTATTTAAAGTATGTTTTGGAGGCCAAGGCAGGTTCCACTTAAGGCCAGGAGTTCAAAAGCAGCCTCCTCAACATGGTGAAACCCCATCTGTATTTTACAAAAAACACAAAACACCTGGGAATGGTGCTGAATGCCTGTAATCCCAGCTACTCGGGAGGCTGAGGCAGGAGAATTGTTTTAACCCAGGTGGAGGTTGCAGTGAGCCAAGATCGCACCACTGCACTCCAGCCTGGGCGACAAAGCAAGACTCTGTCTCCAAATAAATAAATAAATAAACGAACAAATAAATAAATAAATTTTGGGGGCCAGGCGAGGTGACTCACACCCGTAATCCCAGCACTTTGGGAAGCCAAGGTGAGACCGCTTGAAGCCAGCAGTTTGAGATCAGCCTTGGCAGCATAGTGAGACCCTGTCTCTACCAAAAAAATTAAAACTACAAAAATTATCCAGGCATGATGGTGCATGCATGTAGTCCCAACCACTTAGGGAGCTGAAGTAGGAGAATCTCTTGAGCCCAGGATTTCAAGGCAGCAGTGAGGTACAATTGTGCCACTGCACTACAGCCTGGTGACAGGGCAAGACACTGTCTTAAAGAAAAGTAGATTTTGTGGGGTCTTTTTAAGACTAGTCAAGTGCAGTAGTGATAAGGGGGAAAGAGTAGAACAAGGAGTTTGATCTGTAACTGACTGTAAACAATCAATTGAGATAACTCACCACCTTGAGCCCAGCCTATTTTGTGGTTTTATATCATAAAAATACACAGCTACTTGCAGTCTGGACAAGATGGGAAGTACAACTACAAATTCTGGGAAGTACAACTACAAATTCTGGAAAGCAACCAAAGGAGAACTCTCACAGGTGGTAAGAAGACAAACTGGTTTAGGGACACAGGAGTGGAGGAGCACACAGTGGCCGGTTATCCCAGCTACTTGGGAAGCTGAGGCAGGAGAATCACATCAACCCAGGAGGTGGAGGCTGCAGTGAGCCAAAATATCTTTTATAGCATACTTGCAAAAGACAAGGACTCTTCATATCTTTATCAGTGATTAAACTCATGAATTCTTCTTAAAAAGATCTCTATTCCACAGAACATCCACAGCTGAATACTTTCAATACTATACCTGAAACAGAAATCCTACTATATAAATTCATATATTTATGAAACATCATACATTTTATATCCATATAAAATGATTATATTGCATGATTATGGGAATACAGGTGTGAGCTACCATGCCTGGCCAATCCTACTGTATTTCAAGATAAAATTTTAAAGTTTAAATTCACAAATCCCAAACTGATATAGTTCCATTCAGTACAAACTGGCTGATAGAGGCCATAATTTATACTTTTGACACTATAACATCTTCAGAATATTAATAAGGTTTTAAAATATCACTTATTGGTCACCCACAGCGGCTCATGCCTCTAATTCCAGCACTTTGGGAGGCCGAGGCAGGTGGATCACCTGAGGTCAGTAGTTCAAGACCAGCCTGGCCAACATGGAGAAATCCTGTCTCTATTAAAAATACAAATTTAGCTGGGCTTGGTGGCACACACATGTAATCCCAGCTACACGGGAGGCTGAGCAGAATTGCTTGAACCCTGGAGGCGGAGGCTGCAGTAAGCCGAGATCATGCCACTGCATTCCATCCTGGGCTATAGACTCCATACCAAAAACAAATAATAAATAAAAATAAAATATCAATTATTGGCCAGGCATGGTGGCTCACACCTGTAATCCCAGCACTATGGGAGGCCAAGGCAGGCAGATCACTTGAGGTCAGGAGTTCCAGACCAGCCTGGCCAACATGGTGAAACCCTGTCACTACAAAAAATACAAAAATTAGCTGGGCATGGTGGCACCTGTCCATAATCCCAGCAACTTGGGAGGCTGAGGCATGTGAACAGCTTGAACCCAGGAGCAGGATGTCACAGTGAACCAAGATCGTGCTACCACACTCCAGCCTGGGCAACAGAATGAGACTCTGCTTCAAAAAAAAAAAAAAAGAAGGGTCAGGTATGGAGGCTCATGCCTATAATATCAGCACTTTGGGAAGGCAAGGCAGGCGGATCACCTGAGATCTGGAGTTCGAGACCAGCCTGACCAACATGGAGAAACCCTGTCTCTACTAAAAATACAAAATTAGCTGGTATGGTGGTACATGCCTGTAATCCCAGCTACTCAGGATGCTGAGGCAGGAGAATCGCTTGATCCTGGGAAGTGGAAGTTGCAGTGAGCTGTGATCATGCCATTGCACTCCAGCCTAGGCAACAAGAGCGAAACTCCATCTCAAAAAAAAAGAAAGAAAGAAAATATCAATTATTTGCTGTTCAATGAAATATCACTTCTAGGCAAAAGATTTATCATCTTTATTGGGTGTTCTACCCCCACCCTGGGTTGTTTCTGCTATGGAATGAGTCCGACGAGAAGGTGAAGGTTTTTGAGACTTGAGGATTTTGACAGGGGTTTCCTCTATGTTGTCTCTTTGATGTTTTAAGTCAGGATTCTGGTAAAACATTTCATTACATTCACAGGATTACTCCCTTGTGTGTGTTCTCTGACATGTTGTGAGGGATGACTTCTGGTACAAGGTTTTCCCACATTCACTACATGCATAGGGTTTCTCTCCTGTGTGAGTTCTCCTGATGTGCTGTGAGGGATGACTTGTGGTAGAACGTGTTCTCACATTCATTACATTCATAGGGATTCCCCCCTATGTGAATTCTCTGATGTTCTCTAAGTTTTGACTTCACAGAGAAGGATTTTTGACATTCTCTGCATTCATAGGGTTTCTCTCCTGTATGAGTTCATTAATCACATGATCAATGAAGTTTGGCTTCTGGGAGAAAGTTTTCCCACATTCCTTACATTCATAGAGTTTCTGGCCAGTATGTATTCTCTGATGTACTGTTAGAGCTGACCTATCACCAAAGGCTTTCTGACATTCATTACATCCATAGGGTTTCTCTCGTGTGTATGTTCTCTGATGTACATGAAGATTTGACTCCTCACAGAAGTTTTTTTCCACATTCATTGGGTTTCTCCCCTGTATGTGTTCCTTGATGTACTGCATGGAATGACCTATATCCAAAAGTTTTCCCACATTCAGTGCATTCATAGGGTTTCTCTCCTCTGTGTATCCTCTGATGTAGGATGAAAGAGGATTTATTGCTGAAGGTTTTCCCACATTCATTACATTCATAGAGTTTTTCTCCTACATCTGTTTTCTGATATACAGAAAGCTTTGGCTTATTGCAAAATGTACTAGCATACTGATTAATTTTATAGGCATTTTTTCCTATATGTGTTTCTTGATGCTGAGTGAACTTTGGCTTCTTGTAGAATACTTCCAAATCTCTATTACAGTCAAAAGTTTTCTCTCCTCTGTAACTTCGTTGAGAGAGGAGTAATTTCTTGCCAAAAGGATTCTCACTCGCATTACACTCATAATATTTCATATCCATAACTCTGTGGTATTTATTTGCAGGTGGCTTCTCACCAGCAGACCTCCACTCACATTCACTGAATTCATAGTGATTCCCCCTTATGTGAGTTCTCTGATGAACAATGAATATTGGTCTATTGGAAAAGGTTCTCACACGTTCATTATATTCACAGGGCTTCTCCCATGGGCATACCCTGTTACTGCAGGCTGCCTCTTCATGAAAAGCCTTCCCACACTGATTATATTCAAAACATTGCTTCAGAATTTAAATATACTGATGACTAAATCGGTCCTCATTCTGAGCGATGGCTTTCCCATTTCTATCATATTCCAAAGGTTTCCCTCTGGTATAAGGATTCTCCTGCTTCGTGCAGAGTAGAAATTCCCCATGTGCATTATACTCATCAGGCTTCCTTACACAGAGGCTTCTATTACTAATAATTAATTCTGAAATATAATTCAAACTCACTCCATATGAGTCACAGTTGCTACGTATTTTTCTTAATAGAACGGGGTTTGTGTAAAGATAAAATGTTTTTCCTAATACACCATTTCTGTCCTTAGTAAGCATTTTGTTGTTGACAAAATCAACTTTCCACAAATGCTGGTCTTGATTTTCCTGTCTCATCTCCATCAGGTCATCATCTATGCAGCAGTCTAGAAACAAGAATAAGTTACCATAGATTATAAATGTTAACATATTTCTTATGTCAGATAGAGAATTGGGCATACTAATTTTAACCAAGATTAGGGGGATACAAGAGACTTCTTAAAAATAAAGGAACAAAATGTCACTAGCAGTTCTGGATATGGCTGACATAGCTACCAACCAGATACTGAGTTTTCCGGAGTACACAGCAAATCTGGAACTGAGGAAATCAATAGATGAAATACAAAGTACATTCGAAAGCTTCAATGATAGACTAGGTCAGGTAGGAAAAAAACTCTCAAAACTTAAAATCTGAAGCTTTTCTTCTCAATTCAAAGAGAATACTCTGACCACTCATGGGAACAAAATCTGTTCAGTTAATTGTTATACTGGGGTCTCGGATAATCATTAAAGATGAAATGAAAAAAAAAAGTTAATATATTTCTTATGAAAAGAAGACATATTCACATGCCTTTTTTTGACAGTGTCTGGCTCTGTTACCCAGGCTGGATTGTGCAGTGGTGAGATCATGGCTCACTGCAGCCTCAACCTCCCGGGCTCAGGTGATCCTCCCACCTCACCCTCTCAAGTAACTGGGCTTACAAGTATGTACCACCATGCCTGGCTAACTTTTTGTATTTTTTGTAGAGATGGAGTTTTGCCATTGCCATATTACCCAGGCTGGTCTCGAACTCCTGTGGCCCAGGCTGTAATGCAGTGGCAGCATCGCAGCTCACTGCAGCCTTAAACTCCTGGGCTCAAGCAATCCTCCCTCCGTGGTCTACCAGAGTGCTGAAATTACAGGTGTGAGCCACCGCAACCGGCCCAGGTTGTTCGTATAACAGCATCATATGTATACCTTTATTTATCTAGAATATCATCATCTAACTTATAGTCTGAGATTTCAGTTATACAATCAATTAAACCATAATAATTAGAGTCTACAGTGCTTCTGTCTCTTTACATTCATCTTCTAATTTGCCTAATAATTGTGAAAAGGCTTCCTCTTGTCAATTTTCTACTCTTTGCAATTAACAGAAGAAAATAAAAGTTCTGAACTCTCAACTTTACCCAGTGAATTATTAGAGAGAGAGGGAGAGAGAGAGAGAGAGAGAGAGAGAGAGAGAGAGAGAGAGAGAGAGAGAGAGAGAGAGAGGCCAGACGTAGTGGCTCACACCTATAATCCCAGCACTTTGGGAGACCGAGGTGGGCAGATCACAAGGTCAGGAATTCAAAATCAGCCTGACCAACATGGTGGAACCCCATTTCTACTAAAAATACAAAAATTAGCCAGGTGTAGTGGCACACGTCTGCAATCCCAGCTACTCAGGAGGCTGAGGCAGGAGAATTGCTCAAACCGGGGAGGTGGAGGTTGCAGCGAGCCGAGATAATGTCACTGCACTCCATCCTGGGAGACAGAGTGAGATGCTGTCTCAAAAAAATAAAATGTAAGAGAGTCAGGTGTGGTAATTCATGCCTGTAATCCCAGCACTTTTGGAGGCCAAGGCAGGTGGATCACCTGAGGTCAGAAATTCGAGATCAGCCTAGACAACATGGCAAACCCCATCTCCAGTAAAAATACAAAAAAAATTAGCTGGGCCATCGTGGCAGGTGCCTATAGTTCCAGCTACTCAGTGTCTAAGGTAGGAGAATTGCTTGAACATAAAAGGCAGAAGTTGCAGTGAGCTGAGATCACACCACTGCATTTCAGCCTGGGCAACAGAGCGAGATTCCATCTCAAAAATAAATGAATAAATAAGAATTAAAAAGAAGAAATAATCTACAAATAAGGTTTCTGTACACTTCTTTCATATTTTCATCATAAGTAATGCAATACTTCGAGCAATTCAGTAAGAAAATTGAAGGAGATATAATAGTGACAATGTTCTTCACTATCATATTATCCTTATAAGCAATTCCATCATTCTATTCTTTTCTCTTTTAGTTTATTTTACCACAGTTGGACATAATTGATGAATAATGTTGAAATAATTGCTAAGAAAATAACAATAGCAAAATGTCTCAAACTTAAGAAAACTAGATCACTAAAATAGTATAATGCTTCTTAGATTGTAAATGGGACCAATTTGCTTATATAGCAGCAAAAATAGAATGAGTTTCATCCAGTTGAAAAATATAAATAGGCCAAGCATGAATCAAGCCTCTAAATCCAGCATTCTGGAAGGCAGAGGTAGAAGAATTGCTTAAGGCCAGAAGTTCAAGACCACCTTGGGCAACACACCAAGACCCCTTCAGTACAAATATATATATGTGTGTGTGTGTGTGTGTGTGTGTGTGTGTGTGTGTGTGTGTGTGTAAGTATAAACATATACACACACACATATGTATAAGCACATATATGTATAAGTGTGTGTGTGTGTGTGTGTGTATACATATATATATATTTGTGTCAACCACTGCACTATAGCCTGGGTGACAGAGCTGGGTGACTCCATCTCATAAGAAAGAAAAAAAAGAAATGTGTCAAAAATAAAGTCAAAAGCTAAATTTGTGTCCACTGAGAGGTAATATTCTATTTTTTTTATTATTTAAACCGTGTATCATTAACATTCCTTTTACATTCTAAGGTTTTCTGTTCATATATCATATATGATTCTCAAACTCCATATATCTTGATTTTTGTTTTGTTTTTAGAGACAGGGTCTCACTCTGTCATCCAGACTGGAGTGCAGTGGCATGATCATAGCTCACTGTAACTTCAAACACCTGGGCTCAAGCAATCCTCCCACCTCAGCCTCCCAAAACTGAGACTACTGGTGTATGACAATACCTGGCTGATTTTTAATTTTTTAAATTTATTTAATTAATTTTTTTTTTTTGAGACACAGTTTTGCTCTTGTTGCTCAGGCTGGAGTGCAATGGCACCATCTTGGCTCACCGCAACCTCCACCTCCTGGGTTCAAGTGATTCTCCTACCTCAGCCTCCCAAGTAGCTGAGATTACAGGCATATGCCACCACACCCAGCTAACTTTGTATTTTTAGTAGCGATGCAGTTTCTCCATGTTGGTCAGGCTGGTCTTGAACTCTCAACCTCAGGTGATCTGCTCACCTTGGCCTCCCAAAGTGCTGGCATTACAGGCCTGAGCCACTGCACCTGGCCTAATTTTTTATTTTTCGTGAGCTGGATTCTCACTATGCTGCCTAGGTTGATCTCAAACTCTTGACCTCAAGCAATCATCTTGGCTTGGACTCCCAAAGTGCTGGGATTACAGGACTGAGCCACCATGCTGAGCCTATATAGCTTGGTTTTTGAAAATCCAATTCGACAATATCTGTCTTTTAATAAATGGTTTAGCCTCTTTAAATGTATTATAATCTCTAAAATATCTGAATTGGTTTTCTCTTTTTCACTTAGAGTTTCCAGTTGTTCTAATTTTCACCTGATTTTCCCCACTCTTTCATTTTTTAGTTTTTCTAACCCAACATATTTTTTTCTTTTCCATTTTCTTCTCTTTAAAATTTAGAAGTTACTACTTTCTTTTAGCATTTACCCATTATAAATTTTATTTCATTTTTATTAAATAAAATATTTAATGCAACAATATTTCTTCTTAACAACGAAAGGAATTTAAAGGCCTGGCACAGTGATTCACATGTATAAACCCAGCTCTTTGGGAGGCCAAGGTGGGGGCAGATCACTTGAGGCCAGGAGTTTGAGAACAGCCTGGCCAACATGGCAAAACCACATCTCTACTAAAAATACAAAAATTAGCCAGGCATGGTAGTATACACCTGTGGTCCCAACTACTTGGGAGGCTGAGGCATGAGAATCTCTGAGCCTGGGAGGTGGAGGTTGCAGTGAGCCAAGATTGCACCACTGCACTCCAGCCTGTGTCTCAAAATACAAAAAAAAAGAAAGAAAGGATTTTAGAACACAATTCAGATCAACTAGTAATTGATTCACATGTTGGGTCATTTTTCAGTATTTTATTTTTATTGTTTTATATCCAACTGGGCATCATTATATTTTATACAAAGAACATTTGTTTAAATTTATGTGTCTATCTCTTTACTTATGCCTTCCCAAAACTGTTTCTTCTCCATTTTCTCCCAACCAGTTAATGGTATCATCACATAGCCAGTGCCTCAGCATAAAACCTTTGAGATCATGCTTACTATCTTTTTCTTATACCTATAATCCAATTTAGCAGCAAATTCTGTTTTGGCTACAACTTCTGAACGTAACAGCAGCCCAGTGAGCAGTCTGTCTGGCAGCATCTCCCACATGCCCCCATCACCCCTCACTTCCATCCAGCCCAGTTCACTCTGTCCTGCTCATGGCACTCTGGCCTAAGGTTCATGGCACAGAGTATACCATCTGGCCAGAATATTCCACTGACACACACGATTCAAATCTGTGTTGATTAAACTCCTGACTTCAAAGAGGCCCTTACATAAAGAGACACTACATCTCAATCTCTTCTACCACTAGAACACAGCCATGATGTCACAGCTATGTCTCTAACACAGATGGAACCACCAACATCATAGCTGCCGAATTAATACTTATTGAATAAATACGTAATACATGATAAAAATAAGATAACTGAAATTGATATAGAGGAATGTCATTTGACATTCGTTTGACTAAAATGAGAGAGGCAAGGGCTAAAATTTTCAGAAGAAAACAAGATCATTTAGCTGTTATCTGCTAGCATAATATATACATCTGAAGCAAGCAAGCCAGCTCTTCTCAGTCGCTTCTAAAATTCTGGTAACTCTAAAAATGTATTTCTGAAAATGTTAAAGATGTCAATATGTGAACTGTCTCCCTAGGATTCAATTTCTCCCTGGTTTATAGCTTCCTATTTACTTATTAACTCACCTAGGTAGCTCTGACTTGGGGATTCTTCTTCTAATATCCACAGCGCCTCTCCATGCTCCAACTTACAAACCACCTCTGGTTTGGTAATGCAATACCCTGTGAATGAAAATGACACAGGACGTGGGCCAGGTAGCCTGAGGTGTGCCTGCACAAAAAAAAGGTCCACCTGAACATTTGATTACAGAAAACACCACAGATATTCTTAAGTGTCCAAAAGGGATCGATCAAGCTTCAACTCCTAAGTCTCAACCCTTTAACTCATAATCATACAAAGAAATCATCTGTAATCAGCAGCTAAAAAGGAAATCAATGTTATTTGGAGTTTCAAATTACACAATCCTTACCCATGAGATGAGGAGGCTGTAGTTCTCCAACATCATGTCTCTGTACAGGGTCCTCTGAGCAGGGTCCAGATGCTGCCACTCCTCCTTGGTGAAGCCCACAGCCACATCACTGAAGGACACTGATCCCTACAACAGCACATTTGTTTTCATTATACAGTCAGCAGAAGTGGAGAGCATAGAACATGTGTGAGATCTAACTCCTTGTCATGTTTGCTGTTGACAGTTGAAGAAAAAATGCTACTAGGATGCCTACTTTTTTTTCTACCGTACCTATTAATACTATACATTGTAGGAAAATGAGAAATCCTGGTAATGAGGACTATGCCAGTATATTGGTTTTTTTCAGATGGGGTTTCACTCTGTCACTCAGGCTGGAGTGCTGTGGGATGATCACAGTTCATTGCAACCTTGACCTCTGAGGCACATGTGATTCTCCCAGCTCAGCCTCCCAAGTAGCTGGGACAATAGGCACGTGCCACCACACCCAGCTAATTGTTTTTTATTTGTAGAGATTAAGGTCTCACCATGTTGTCCAGGCTGGTCTTGAACTCTGGCCTCAAGTGATCCTCCTGCTTTGGCCTCCCAAAGTGCTGGAATTACACATGTGAACCACCATGCCTGGCATACTTCCTTAATTCATACAAAAATTATGAGGTCCTGCTAGTGATAGATGCAAGAGGCAGATAAAGGAGGTCCCCGGAGAATCTCTGACTGACCCCACAAGTGTTTACATCCAATGCTTTTGTGCACATAAGAAAACCTGCCCAGGGTCTTGTCTGCACATGCCTGCAAAAGACTGAGGACCCATCTGGGCACTGAGAGAAGAGGCAGGGGAAGTTCATGCCTTGTGCAGCGGGGAGGAGCCTGGCCTCTTAAGCAGCTTTGTATTCGATCTGTGAGGCAGCAGTCTTTTAGCAGAATTGATTTTTAAATTTTTGATTAAAAAAAAAAAAAAAAAAAAACCTAGCCTGAGCGTGGTGGCTCACACCTGTAATCCCAGTACTTTGGGTGACCAAGGCAGGCAGATCACTTGAGGTCAGGGGTTCCAGATCAGCCTGGCCAACTTGGTGAAACCTTGTCTCTATTAAAATATAAAAATTAGCTGAGCGTGGTGGTGCATGCCTATAATACCAGTTACTGGGGAGGCTGAGACAAGACAATTGCTTGAACCCAGGAGGCAGAGGTTATAGTCAGTGGAGATCGCACCCCTGCACTCCAGCCTGGGTGACAGAGCTAGACTCTGTCTCCAAAAATAACTAATTTTTCCTTTTAGAGGCCAGGTCTTGCTGTTTTGCCCATACTGGAGTGCATTCACAGGCATGATGATAGCACACTAAGACTTCAAATTCCTGGGCTCAAGCAATACTCCTGCCTCAGCCTCCTAAGTACCTGGGGCTCCAGGCATGTCACCCAGAAGTGTTGTTTTATGTCCTTCCAAAACAGTTTTTCAACTTTGTCTCTCTAGCACAAAACATTTTTAAAAACACCTTTAGTGAGCTATAACTCACACATCATATAACTTACCCTTTTAAAGTATATGTGTCAGTGCTTTTTTATATTCAGGGTTGTGCAATGATCAACATATCCCCCTAAAAGCAGCATACTTATTAACAGTCATTCCCCATTTTTCCCTCCCCCAGCCCTTGGCGACATTAACCTACATTCCCTCTGTGGATTTGCCTATGCTACACATTTCATATAAATGGAATCATACCGGCCGGGCACGGTGGCTGTAGTCCCAGCACTTTTGAAGGCCAACACAGGCAGATCACCTGAGGTCAGGAGTTCGAGACCAGCCTGGACAAAATGGTGAATCCCTGTATCTACTACAAATACCAAAAAAAAGCATCTACTCATGCGACTGAGGCAGGAGAATCACTTGAACCCAGGAGGTGGAGGTTGCAGTGAGCCAAGACCACACCACTGCACTCCTGGGCGACAGAGTAGTGTTGTCTCAAAAAATAAGTAAATAAATGGAATCATACTATATGTGCCTTTTGTGATGCTTCTTTCACTTGCCATACCATCTTCAAGTGTCATCCCTGGTGTGACATCTCTCAATACATCCTTTCTCTTTGCAGTTGAATTAATATTCTGTTCTACAACTATTTCACATTTTGTTTATTCAGGCATCAGTTAATGGACATTTGGGTTATTTCCACTTTTCTTTGGCAATTATCAATAATGGTAGTATGAACATTTGTGTACAAGGTTTTGTGCAGACCTATGTTTTCAATTCTCTTGGGTACCTTGGAGTAGAACTGCTGGGTCCTATGGTAACTCTATTTTTGGCATTTTGAGGAACTGCGAAACTGTTTTCCAAGGTGGCTGCATGTTTACATTTGCACCAGGAATATGAGTTCCAATTTCTCCACATCCTTGCCAACAGTCTATTCTTCTGATTACAGTCATCCTAGTGAGTGTGAAGTGGTATCTCAATGTGATTTTGATATGCATTTTCCTGATGACTAATGATGGGCATTTCTTCATGTGTTTATTGGCTGCCTGTATATTTTAATGCTTAAAAAGTAATTGATTGTTTATTTATTTTAGAGATGGGAGTCTCATTCTGCCTCCTAGGATAGAGTACAGTGGTATGATAGTAGCCATGTTCACACCACTGCACTCCAGCCTGGGAGACAGAACAAGACCTTGTCTCAGAAGAAAAAAAAAGCATATGATTCAGATTAAAAACATATTTTAAATGTTCAGGAAAAAAAATTTTGTGGGGGTTGGTTTTGGTGGCTCACACCTGTAATCACAGCACTTTGGGAAGCCAACGCAGGTAGATCGCATGAGGTTAAGAGTTCAAGACCAGCCTGGTCAACATGGTGAAATCCCTGTCTCTACTAAAAATACAAAAATTAGCCAGATGTGGTGGTGCACACCTGTATACCCAGCTGCTTGGGAGGCTAAGGTAGGAGAATCACTTGAACCCAGAAGCCAGAGGTTGCAAAAAGCCAAAATTGTGCCACTGCACTCCAGCCTGGTTGGCAGAACGAGACTCCGTCTCAAATAAGGAAAATTTAAAAAATAGAAAAAAAGCCGGGCACTGTGTCTCACGCCTATAATCCCAGCACTTTGGGAGGCTGAGGCAGGTAAATCATGAGGTCAGGAGATTGAGCCCATTCTGGCCAACATGGTGAAACCTCATCTCTACTAAATATACAAAAATTAGCTGGGCATGGTGGCGTGTGTCTATAATCCCAGATACTCAGGAGGCTGAGGGAGGAGAACAGCTTGACCGGGGAGTTGGAGGTTGCAGGGAGCCAAGACTGTGCCACTGCACTCCAGTGTGGTGATAGAGTGAGACTTTGTCTCAAATAAGTAAATAAATAAGAGGAAAAAAAAATGTTTTTTTTTTAAGAGACAGGGTTTCGTCATGTTGCCCAGACTCCTGGGCTCGACCCATCCTCTTGGCCTCCCAAAGTCCTTGGATTACATGCGTGAGTCACTACACCTGACCTGGTTTTTTTGTTTTTGTTTTTGTTTTTTTGAGACAGAGTCTCAGTCTATCACCCAGGCTGGAGTACAGTAGCCTCAGACTCAAGTAGCTGGGTCTACAGGCATCACTATCATGCTCAGCTAATTTTTATATTTTTAGTAGAGATGGAGTTTCACCATGTTGGTCAGGCTGGTCTTGAACTCCTGATCTCATGATCCATCTGCCTTAGCTCTGAAAAGTGCTGGGATTACAGGCATGAGCTACTGCACCCAGTCCCTGTTTTTTTTAAACACAGTCTTGTTCTGTCACCCAGGCTGGAGTGCAGTGGCATGAACACAGCAGCTCACTGCAGCCTCAACTTCCTGGGCTCAAGCAATCTTATCTCCGCCTCCCAAGTAGCTAGGACTATAGATGCATACCATCATGCCCAGTTAATTTTTTTGTTTTTTCATAGAGATAGGGTTTCACCATATTGCACTCCAATGGGCTCTAGCAATCTGCTTGCCTCAGCCTCCTAAAGTACTGTGATTACATGCATGAGCCAGTACATCAGGCTGATTTTTAAATTTTTGGAGAGATGGAGTCTCACTATGTTGCCCAGGTTGGCCTCAAACTCCTGGGCTCAAGCAATCCTCCCACCTCATGCCTCCCAAAGTGTTGTGATTACAGGCATAAGCCACCTTGCCCAGCCTGGCTGTTGTTCTTGTTTTTATAAAACGTGAAGAAGTATGTTGACATTTGGCTCTAAAAAGAAAAAAAAGGTGGGGTGTGATGGCTTACACCTGTAATCCAAGGGTGATGGTGGGTACCTGTAATCCCAGCTACTCAAGAAGCTGAGTCAGGAGAATCCCTTGAACCTGGGAGGCAGAGGCTGCAGTGAGCCAAGATCATGCCATTGCACTCCAGCCTGGGTGACAAGAGCAAAACTCCGTTTCAAAAAAAAAAAAAAAGGTGAAGGAGAGCCACTGAATTTCTTTTTTTTTTTTTTTTTTTGAGACAGAGTCTTGCTCTGTCGCCAGGGGCTAGGCTGGAGTACAGTGGCACGATCTCGGCTCACTGCAACCTCCACCTCCCGGGATCAAGCAAGTCTCCTGCCTCAGCCTCCCAGATAGCTGGGACTACAGGCATATGACACCACACCCAGCTAATTTTTTTTGTATCTTTAGTAGAGATGGAGTTTCACCATGTTGGCCAGGATGGTCTTGATCTCTTGACCTCATGATCAGCCCGCCTTGGCCACCCAAAGTGCTGGGATTACAGGCTTGAGCCACCGTGCCCGGCCTGAATTTCCTTTTATTTAAAATGAAAAAATGGTCAGGTGCAGTGGCTCACACTTGTAATCCCAGCACTTTGGGAGGCCGAGGCAGGTGGATCAACTGAGGCCAGGAGTATGGGACCAGCCTGGCTAACCTGGTGAAACCCCATTTCTACTAAAAATACAAAAAATTAGCTGGGCATGGTGGCATATGCCTGTAATCCCAGCTACTCTCAAGGCTGAGGCAGGAGAACTTCTTGAACCTGGGAGGCAGAGGTTGTAGTAGGTGGAGATCGTGCCATTGCACTGCAGCCTGAGCAATAAGAACAAATCTCCATCCCAAAAAACAAAAAGGGAAAAAAGGTATGTCAAAAACAAAAACTATAGATGGGCTTATCTTGTAGATATTAGTGTTTATTATGAAAC